CTCCTGTGTGAAAATTGTCAAGGATTTTCTTGTTTCTTAGGACTCCAAGAATATAACTTTGGTGTGACCAGGCTCAAAATAAGAGTGTCAGAGAAGGTTACCATAGATTTGAGCATATCAGCAACTCAGTGAAAAGTTTTGGAAAAACAGAAACTCTCTCAAATAGCAAGGTAGGTGTATAGTTTGTGAAAAAAAAAGCATCTCGACATTTGACACCCAAACTTGAGTTGCCTGTTTGTTTGCACATTTCTGCTTTGGAAATTCCAAACCAAGGAAAAATATTTCCTTTTCTGGTGGTTTTGGTATGATTAGGATTGCAGGTTTATCTGAAAATCTATCAGTTTGCTAAAATTCTATCACATCAATATTCTTGAAATAGCCCTTATTTGTTTGTGACTCCCAAACACAAATTGTTTGCCTTTACTGATCTGCACTTATTTCCAATCTCAATTAAATACATTCAAACAACAAGTAAAATTACTCAGCAATTAATCAAAATTGGATTTAGCTGAACAAACTTAGTATGATTGGTTGCTTTAACCATCTGATCATAGGTGTCCAATTACAGCTAACAGTCTGATTAAATTGTCAGATTACAAGTCTGCAGAATAGTTAATGAAAACTATTTTACCTACACCAATCACATTTGAGGAATTGAATTTGTGATGGTCATAAATAATCATCCAACTGCTTTATTCTATGGTCAGGTCAATGAACCAACAAACCTTGTTCTTTTAGTCAGGGATATATGATGAAACAAAAATCTCTTTCCAACTGATAAGCAGAACATGATTTACTTGCTTTACTTCAATTTATCTTTCAATTAAACTGCTAAACAAATGAATTTCCTTTGGGTAACATAACTGGATTTGAACTAAGGCCTATTGAATATTTGCTTGAAAGTGGCGTGAAACTAATTACACTTATTTTGATAAAATTTATTTTCTCTCTGATTTTGTTGTTTATGAATTAAGCAAAAATCACATGTTTTGTTAAAGAGAGGGAAAAAAATAAATGTAAGGTTTTTAGCTTAGTATATCACCCTCAGATGTTGAACCAGTGACCCATGCAATCAGGTATCTGAAATTCACTATGACTGATCACCGTTCATAATGAAGTGAGTGAGTGATACTGACTCAGACCTTGAATAGCCTCTGACAAAATTTTTTTTCACATTGTCTGTCCTAACATCTGAACTAGTTGACAGCTGTTTCAAAAGAATTAAGGCAGGGAGAATAAGGCATTTAATGCATCCTTTTGATTTTGCAATTAATGTTTTGATAAATTGGTTTATTTGCACTCTGAAGAATTGAATCACATGATGCTATTGGAGGTTAGGCAGAGAGTGATGTGAAATGAGGTGCATGACGATAGCCAAGTTGACAACTGAAGTTGCTAAAACTTTAGCGAGTTACCCATTAAGTTGGCTGTTTAGCTTGCTCTTGTGTACCACCCAGCGATAGATGAATAAATATCCTCTCATGCATATAAGATAGTTCCCTCTCACACATCTCGCCAACTCAGTGAATCTGTTTGGGTATCTGAAATAAACAAAGCAAAAGACCAGAGGTTACTCAAAAGGAGATACCGAGGTTGGAGGGGAAGGGTTAATGAAACAACTTCAGAATATAGGGGAGTGAAACTGCAACGATATTTCGTGTAAGCTAAATGAAATATATGGATATTTCGTTTGTATATAAATGATCGTTTAGTGTGTTCAAGTGAACTTTGGTTAAATTCAGGGTAATTTAGTATTATCAACTGAGTTTATAACGTAAATTGGCCACCGTAAAGAGTTTAAAAGGTGAAGTTTCGAGCGTTTGCCCTTCGTCAGAGTGAATAGCGTAGGGCTAACGCTCGAAACGTCAGCTTCGAAACTCTTCACGGTGGCCAATTTACGTTATCAACTCAGGTGACAAAGGTAAATTACCTTGTTATACTCTCCCACCGACGCAGCACCACAGGTTCTTTATAAACTTACTCCCTTTACTCTTTTGATGAAAATCAGTTCGAGTGAGATGGTACGATTATTGTTCCTCATTTCGTCTGGGCTTCTTGTCTTCCTCTGAGCTATCAAAATCAGGAATAGTTTTTACTTGCGTATTAGTAGCTTGCCGGTCAGTGCGTGTTCATTTATTGTCCGAAGTTCCACGTGGTGGAATATGCCCGGCGGCGAAGGAGCTTCGGCTGAAATATTTATCGTTGTAAATTGACCGCATACCGTATCCCATACAATTCTTTACATCGTGTTCTCAAATTCATTAATAATGCACGAGGTAATTAACCAATTGTGTGGTCTCATTTGGGTCACATGAATGCCCCTTGATACCTAAGCGTGTTTAGATATCCAAACACATGTGTTAAGATAGTCATACACGTGTGTTTGGAAATAAATTTCCAATAGAATGCACTTATCTTTGTACTGAGTACTTTTAGGCTTTGAAAGTTCTAGCAAAGAAACTTCCTCGTAACTTTTCGGCGGTCGAAACCGGGAAGACCTTTCCTAGCTGCTTCTTCCATTTCTCAAAATTTCAAATGAGGACGCCGAAGCAAAGTGCGACTGCTTTTAATTAAAAAGCCGAAGTTGTGAAAAAACACAACACCTTTCATGATACCGACTAACTATGCACATGCGATAATTAAACAAAAGAAAACAAAAACTGAGTATTTACGCGGTCTTTCTGTTTCGTGTTTATCGTTAGTAAATTAGGTCCTTTTGAGAAGCTTCGTGTTTCATCAGGATTTTAAAACACTCGAAAACAATAAAAGCACGAGGCTCGTGCTTTTATCAGTTGATAAAACACTCGCCCTCGCTTAGGAAATATTACTTCAAATTCTCAACGGTTTCTCTCGTATCTTAACACCGAATCACAACGCAGGACGCGGTTTCTCCAGGCGGTGTGCGCTCTCTGATTGCGTTGCATTATGGTCGTATTACAAAAAGTGAGTCATTCGCATCCTGTAGCGGTCGAGAGAACGGAGATCTCAAGCAAACCACAACGACGACGGCAACGAGAGCGTGGCAAAACAAAAGATCTAATGAGCAGAATAATAGCTCAGCACGTGCCTTTTAAAGCTGTGTACATTTCTTAGCCGTCCTCTGAAAAGTAATGACGTGAAATCACCAAAACCAAAAGTTGCGCACGACGGCAAATTATTTAAGTTTCCATTTAGAACTGAACGCCGCTCTCATAAGTTACGCTGGGGTTAACTTGCGTCGCTGTAAGAGATAGTAAACACATCAAATAATTCGCGAAATCACCGAAAAATATAAATTCATTTCCTTGGCGTTGCCGTCCTGACTGCTAAAGGTCCCTAACATCTTTGGTGGCAAGGAGGTAGCGTGAATATAAGTGGAATGCAATGGGGATTCACTGTCTGTTGCCGTTTCTTCGAAAGTAAAAAGTGTTTACGGGCCTGCACGACTCATGTCATTCCTCCGTGACGAATTTGCTCTTAGGAGGCAATTGACGAGATTCAGATAGAATCGAAACTGCAGTCTTTCCTGAGAGTCTCCAAAAATGGCAGCAGCTACATTCACATCCGATGGCTGTGTGAATAATAACAAATTCAGATTTGACCTATATATTAAACGCATTACAAAGAGAAAGAGACCTTATACACGAACTTTTTTTCGTGTCATCCACCCACAGGCGGCCCAAGCTCCAGCTGTGAGATGATCATCTTGCGCAATAACAGTCATGGCGGCCGGGAATATTTACGACCGCTTTAAGGAATAAAAAAATACGTCAAATTCTCAATAAAAATACCTCACCTTACTTCCACAGTGTATCGCTTGTTATCTGACCGCTTACTTTGATGAAAAGAGCCCATTTTAGCGAGTTGTTCATTTCGAGGTTTTCAACGTACATAAGAAAAGGGCTTTGCTGGAGCTTGGGCCGCCTGTGTAAACACGTGAACAGTTGGAGAGCGTTTAGGAGCGTTTAGTCAGAGCTGTTAAGGAAGGATCAAAGCGGCCATTCAAATCTTTGAAAGGCTTGAGAACAATTGAGTACGCGACCAATAAGTACAAAAAATTATGCTACTTATTCAGAATAAATCAAATTTCATGTACGTATGGTGAAAGAAGAAAGGAACGGCCTAACTAATGCGGGACGTGCAGTCAAAATCTGCCGATTTCAGCCGCTTTCACCACCATATTGAGAACAACGCTACCACAATGCAAGGCAACTGGAGTGCGCACACCGCCTCCTTTTCTCGAGACGTGAACTTCGGATTTCTGTGGTCTAATCACGAAATTGCTTCTCGACTAGTGTTTTGGGGCACACGCGTTAGAAATTGTCGATGGTTTGAATTTTGAAAATGAAGAGGAAAGCAAGGGCATTGACGTGGTCCTGTAAGAATTAGAAGCGTTTTGTAGTGGAGAAACAAACGAGATTATGAGCGTTACCAGTTTAATAAAATCATCGCGAAGGCCAGTAAATTCAAAATAAATGAGTTGGGTCCGACTGCGATAGAATAAACCACTTACTAACCTCACTTGCTCAAACCGTCTCGGGGGGAATATTGAAACTCTGTCATTTTTGTACAGACATCGCTGGGCTCGGTACTGCTCCCAATTCGGTTAGTTAGAAATTCTTATTTTATATTTTAATGATATTGAAACATTTCAACAAGATTAATTGTCGACGGTAATTAACAATAACCGTGTTTCTAAAACTAAATTATTATCAGTTAGACAGATATTCTTTTGATACATTCATTAGTGAGCATTATCATGAACTAATTTTTATCTTGAACAGTAATTTGACACACTATTAACCAATTTGCAATTTGAAAACCTTCAAGCTTCAAAGTAAATCGCAAACTTCCTGTATACTTTGGTTGTATGGTGTTTTTTTGTCACAGGACAGCAGCACTTATTTTCTGAATCTCAATGATGTACTAAATGTATGTAAGAAGAAGCTTACGACCTATTCAAGGTTATAAGCTTCTGGTGTAAGGTATAGTGCGTTTTACAGTTTTAAATTCTCATGCAGATGTTAAACTCTGGACAATGGAGCATAGTTACTCAAGACGGGAATGGTGAACCTGACGAGTGTAGCTTGCAAGTAGGTGGACACCACATGAGGAAAAAACCTACAGAAGGTGGAGTGGACTACAACACACAACCTGAGGTGACTCTGGGTTTGTTCTTCAGATTTGTTACAGTTTGAATAAGGTTACTCTTGAGTTGCTAATTGCGAGTATATGTGTAAGAAATGTGGGTCACGATACTCGTTTTTAAGCAAGAGGCAGTTTTTAAGACACCCTGTTGTTGGAATGGGGACTAACTGCATGTGGACAGTACCCTTATTTGTACAACGATGATTGGGAATATGAGATATGCGATTTTCAACAGATAAAACAAGCAAAAATATCATAGCTGTTTTATTTCATGATACAATGGAATGTTCCACAATCAAGAAATCATTTTAAGCCTCCATTAAGACCTCATTCCATTATTTTTTTATTATGATATAACGACAAATATCTGTAATATAATTTTTATGCCCTTTCATAGTAGTATAGAATGTTTATTGTGTCAACCAAGCTGCAAAAAATCATCGCCTGATCCAAATAATATAATAAAGCTAAAGAACAGTGAGAAATTAAATTTCCTGTATTTTGTATTGATGAAAGTGAACCAAGGTTGATGCAAGTCCGAGTGGAATAGCAATTATTCGGAACACATTTCCCTAGTAACGTCTCAACAAGGGATTGGACAATTTTAATAGTTTTAATAGATTTATTTCTGTAGGAATAACTGATTCTGATATAAAGGATTTGACAACAAGGCTTTTGTGATTTTAGTTGCTGATTTTTACCCTATGAATGATAGGTGGAAGACCACGATTCTGTCTTTGAAAACCGTAAGGACTCTTCAACTCCTCAGCCAGGTCCCAAAAAAGAGGAGGTACGTCTAAGGACATTTAGATGTATTTAATTTAACTTTCACCCTGAATAATTCCTCTCAATTTTATTTTGATGTTTAGTGTAAATGCTCTTTATTAGTAAAAGCAATGCTAGCTTAACTTGATTTTAGACGAAAGGACTTTCAAGTGACCTATTGTAAGCCCCATAATTGATATCTCTTCTCTTTGACCATATGGCCGAGTCTTATTGGGGCTTCAAAAGCAGCCATGTAGCGGGTATATCTAACCTCTTGTAATGCACTGGCCATCATCTCGAAGCCTACTCAGAAATGTTTATGTACACTTTACATACATTTCATTTTCTTGAAATTGGTTGAAATCCAGGAACAACAAGGTAATGAATCGAAATAGACTTCAAAGAGCAGGAAAATGCAATTGCAAGTGTCTGAACTGTCAACACTTCTCACCCGAGGAGGGGGAGACCCTCCAAGCCAAAAAAATCTGCTTACTATTCTAAGCTAACCAGTTGTGCCAAATTGTATTGAAACTAGTAGTGTCTTAATTTTAGGACAAGGTAATTTATCATGAACCAACGAATAACAATTGGACACCTAGTCGAGAATTGGAACAGGATGAAAAACCACCTCTGGAGGAGTTGGATTGTGACCTATCCAAGAATGGAGCACAAATGTACAGTGAGGTATTGCTAGTTGTCAGTAGCGGCCAGAATCTTCCATTCTATGCTTGTGCGTAACAAAATAGATCCATGATCACTGTTACGAGTGTAGAGTAGGTTACAGAAACGAAGAAAGTAAGTTGTTGGCGTAGTCGGGTAATTTGAAGTATTATCAACTGAGTTGGTTTTTTTTACTATTTAAAAAGCGCGAAACCATTTCGAGTCACATTTCAACAGAACTGAAAATAAGGCTTCATGAAAGCCATCTACAAAAAATCTGTATAGAAGGATGACAAAGTTCATTTAAAGATTTAATAATAAAGATAATAGTACCCACCTAAATTCCTAAATTTTTTATTTTTCCCACTGTCTATAGGGAGGAGTCCTTTCAGGTGGTTGTATTGAATACGTAACCAACAATTTCAGAGTGGACCCCCAAACTATGCAGGGACCGTTAATACTAATTCTACCGAAAGATGTGGTTGATGAAACACCTCGTTCTGAAATACGTTGTAAATTCAACTTTGACCCTCAAGCAAGAAGAGAGGCCGAAAACTTGTTAACAAAGAACCAGAAGAGTCTCGATCTGAAGCGTGAAGAATTCAGAGAGAGCGTGCAGATGAAGGTGACCCAGCTTGAGAGGGATCAGATAGAATTGTATGACCTTAAGGAGAAAGCGAGGAACAGTACAACCCAGCAACAACCACAAATGGAAGATCACGATAAAGTAAAAATGGGTAAGATTGTAGGAAAGTGCGACGCACAGGGGAAAGACACAGATCATCTCGAAACAAAAACCGAGAAGTCAGTGCACCCCGGATCTCAGTTGGAAGAGAGCGATGATCTCAGAAATAAGATGGGGAAGGCATTGCTTCAGAAAAGGAAAAGAAGAGAAAATGAACAACTAGCAGAGGTGATTGAGCGAATCATCGCAGAGAAAGTGGAAGAGAAAGTAACCCAGAGCAAATCACAATCAGAGGAGTACGATCAACTCAGGCAACAGATGGAAAATGAGTTACGCCGGTGTGAGTTGCAATCGGAAGAATTCGGTCGTCTGAAAAGGGAGGTGCAGGATAATCTATTGAAGAGCGAGTCACAATTGAAAGAAAACGGTCGTCTTAAACAGCAGCTAGAGCAGAAGATACACGATAGCGAGGCACAAATGGAAGAAAACGCTCAGCTCAGAGGAAAGATGGAGGAGAAAATATACCAGTGCGAGTCCCTGCTGGAAGAAAACGGTCGTCTGAAAGAGCAGATAGAGGAGAAGATGCACCAGACTGAGTCTGAGAGGGACGCAAACGGTCGTCTTAAACAGCAGTTAGAGCAGAAGATACACGATAGCGAGGCACAAATGGAAGAAAACGCTCAGCTCATAGGAAAGATGGAGGATAAAATATACCAGTGTGAGTCCCTGCTGGAAGAAAACGGTCGTCTGAAAGCGCAGATAGAGGAGAAGATGCACCAGACTGAGTCTGAGTCGGACGCCAACGGTCGTCTTAAACAGCAGTTAGAGCAGAATATACACGATAGCGAGGCACAAATGGAAGAAAACGCTCAGCTCATAGGAAAGATGGAGGATAAAATATACCAGTGTGAGTCCCTGCTGGAAGAAAACGGTCGTCTGAAAGAGCAGATAAAAGAGAAGATGCGCCAGAGTGTGTCTGAGTCGGACGCAAATGGTCGTCTTAAACAGCAGTTGGAGCAGAAGATACACGAAAGCGGGGCACAAATAGAAGAAAACGCTCAGCTTATGGGAAAGATGGAGGAGAAAATATACCAGTGCGAGTCCCTACTGGAAGAAAACGGTCGTCTGAAAGAGCTGATAGAGGAGACGATGCGTCAGAGGGAGTCTGAGTCGGACGCGAACGGTCGTCTTAAACAGCAGTTAGAACAGAAGATACACGATAGCGAGGCACAAATGGAAGAAAACGCTCAGCTTATAGGAAAGATGAAGGATAAAATATACCAGTGCGAGTCCCTGCTGAAAGAAAACGGTCATCTGAAAGAACAGATAAAAGAGAAGATACGCCAGAGTGTGTCTGAGTCAGACGCAAACGGTCGTCTTAAACAGCAGTTAGAGCAGGAGATACACGAGAGCAAGGCACAAATAGAAGAAAATGCTCAGCTCAGGGGAAAGATGGAGGATAAAATATACCAGTGCGAGTCCCTGCTGGAAGGAAACGGTCGTCTGAAAGAGCAGATAGAGGAGAAGATGCACCAGACTGAGTCTGAGTCGGACGCCAACGGTCGTCTTAAACAGCAGTTAGAGCAGAATATACACGATAGCGAGGCACAAATGGAAGAAAACGCTCAGCTCATAGGAAAGATGGAGGATAAAATATACCAGTGTGAGTCCCTGCTGGAAGAAAACGGTCGTCTGAAAGAGCAGATAAAAGAGAAGATACGCCAGAGGGAGTCTGAGTCAGACGCAAACGGTCGTCTTAAGCAGCAGTTAGAGCAGAAGATACACGATAGCGAGGCACAAATAGAAGAAAGCGCTCAGCTCAGAGGAAAGATGGAGGATAAGATATACTGGAGCGAGTCCCTGCTGCAAGAAAACAGTCTTCTAAAAGAGCAGATAGAGGAGAGGATGCGCCAGACTGAGTCTAAGTCGGACGCAAACGGTCGTCTTGAACAGCAGTTACGGGAGAAGATACACGAGAGCAAGGCACAAATGGAACTAAACGCTCAGCTCAGGGGAAAGATGGAGGAGAAAATATACCAGTGCGAGTCCCTGCTGGAAAGAAACGGTCGGGTTAAAGAGCAGATAGTAGTGAGGATATGCCAGAGTGAGTCTGAGTCGGACGCAAATGGTCGTCTTAAACAGCAGTCAGAGCAGAAGATTCACGATAGCGAGGCACAAATGGAAGAATATGCTCAGCTCAGAGGAAAGATGAAGGAGAAAGTACACTGGAGCGAGTCCCTGCTGGTCGAAAACAGTCGTCTGAAAGATGAAATAGAAGACAAGATGCGCCAGAGTGTGTCTGAGTCGGACGCAAACGGTCGTCTTAAACAGCAGTTATGGGAGAAGATACACGAGAGCAAGGCACAAATAGAAGAAAACGCGCAGCTCAGGGGAAAGATGGAGAAAATATACCAATGCGAGTCCCTGCTTGAAGATAACGGTCGTCTTAAAGAGCAGATAGAGGTAAGGATATGCCAGAGTAAGTCTGAGTCGGACGCAAACGGTCGTCTTAAACAGTTAGAGCAGAAGATCCATGACAGAGAGGCTCAAATGGAAGAAAACGCTCAGCTCATAGGAAACATGGAGGAAAAAATTTACTGGTGCAAGTCCCTCCTGGAAGAAAACGGTCGTCTGAAAGATCAGATAGAGGAGAAGATTAGCCAGAGTGAGTCTGAGTCGGACGCAAATGGTCGTCTTAAACAGCAGTTAGAGCAGAAGATACGAGAAAGCGAGGCACAAATGGAAGAAAACGCTCAGCTCAGAGGAAAGATGGAGGAGAAAATATACTAGTGCGAGTCCCTGCTGGAAGAAAACGGTTGTCTGAAAGAGCAGATAGAGGAGAAGATGCACCAGAGGGAGTCTGAGTCGGACGCAAACGGTCGTCTTAAACAGCAGTTAGAGCAGAAGATACACGATAGCGAGGCACAAATGGAAGAAAACCGACAGCTCAGAGGAAAGATGGAGGAGAAAATATACCAGTGCGAGTCCCTGCTGGAAGAAAACGGTCGTCTGAAAGATCAGATAGAGGAGAAGATTCGCCAGAGTGAGTCTGAGTCGGACGCACATGGTCGTCTTAAACAGCAGTTAGAGCAGAAGATACGAGAAAGCGAGGCACAAATGGAAGAAAACGCTCAGCTCAGAGGAAAGATGGAGGAGAAAATATACCAGTGCGAGTCCCTGCTGGGAGAAAACGGTCGTCTGAAAGAGCAGATAGAGGAGAACATACGCCAGAGTGAGTCTGAGTCGGACACAAATGGTCGTCTTAAACAGCATTTAGAGCAGAAGATACACGATAGCGAGGCACAAATGAAAGAAAACGCTCAGCTCAGAGGAAAGATGGAGGAGAAAATATACCAGTGCGAGTCCCTGCTGGAAGGAAACGGTCGTTTTAAACAGCAGTTAGAGCAGAAGATACACGAGAGCGAGGCACAAATGAAAGAAAACGCTCAGCTCAGAGGAAAGATGGAGGAGAAAATATACCAGTGCGAGTCCCTGCTGGAAGAAAACGGTCGTCTTCATCAGCAAATTGAGGAGAGGACTCGCCAGAGTGAGTCTGAATCGGATGCGAACGGTCGTCTTAAACAGCAGTTGGAGCAGAAGATGCACCAGAGTGAGTCTGAATTTGAAGAAAGCCATCGTCTCAAACAGCAGATGGAGGAAAACGTACACCGGAGTGAGTCTCAGTTAGAGGAAAACAATCGTCTTAAGCAGGAATTAGAGCGGATATTACACCAAAGCGTGTTCCAGTTGCAGGAAAACGATCGCCTTAAACAGCAGATGGAACAGAAGATACACCAGAGCGGGGATGTATACAACGTCAAAAACTTACGTCAAATGGTCATTAAACATGTCGACAAACTGCGCAATCTTTCTCGCGGTCTTGGCGACCTTAATCAAAGGTTCCAACGGAGTGACGCACAGTTAAATGGAAAGGTTGTTGAGTTAGAGCGAGTGATTAATGATCTACGTGTGAAATTTAACGTTAACTGTGGACCTATTGTGCCAGGCACTCCCTAAGTATTCGTGATTTTACAGATCTGATGCTCTTGGTACTACAGTTTTCTACCGTAACGTTTTTATATTTTTGATACTCATGATTTGGTCTCTCGTTTACTCTAATGATGGTAATGATTTACCGTATCATAGGTTACTTTGCCGCGCGTTTCAGAATTAGGCTTCACCTATAGTCTTTTAGTGTACATTGCAAAGTCAGTTGGTTTCACTGTTGAAACATCAATAAATAAGGTGCTGATAGTGTTTTCGTTGGTGTCTCAAAGCAATGTCACATTGTGAGGAGATACCTTTCCTTTCAATTCTTGTGGTCTTGTTCAGTTTTTGTCAAAAACAACCAGACTAAGCCTGGCGGAAAACGTATTATGAATTGGAATTGGTAGGTAGTGCATTACTTGAATTATAAGCTATAAGCTGCATATCAAAAGAAGGTGTAAAATCCAGTTTCGATGATACTGCTTTACATTTCTGTGGTCCTATGTAGTTTATGCTTCCTAAAGCCATGCCAAAACTTGTAGAAATGACGTTTTGAAATAGGAATTTGATATCGTATCTCGGGCACTGATCTTAGATTACTGGGCCGTGAATAATCTATGTTTAAAATAAATTAAGTTAAATAGTATGGGTATTAAAGTGTGTTTTTATATTCATGGAACGTTCGGTTGGTATCGTAATATTTTACTGGGAATAGCATTTTCTTTATTTCCTGACCTTAAGGACACCATGAAGAAATCTTGTTTTAAGAGGTTGTGATCGTCAGGTCAAGCGAGGGAACTATACTTCTGCCGATTACCCGTTTACGGTGTGTCATGGAAAGCTTACAATGATACATTTGTTATGCTTTGAGAAACGTTTTTTCAGAGGTCCTATGCAAATTTTGAATGCTAGAGAACACACTTTCTTGAGGAAGGTCCGATGGACTTGGTTCTCATACATATCATACATGTCTAGCGACCACATAGCAAAAAATATTCGCAACGCAATGGTTTTTCCGTCTTTCTTTTCCATGCTGTTGATTGGATGCTTGAAACAAGCCCTGAAATCTGATTGGATTTTTTGTTCTAGTGCGTCAAGAGTTGGTATAGGTATTAACATGATTTCGAGTACAATTTGGTGTTAATGAGCACGACTAAATTTTTCAAAGACAAAAAAGGTCAACTTCATTGCAGGTGCCCCACGCGAATGCCATATCCTTGAGCGTGGGGTCGAGGACTCGGGGGTCGGGGTTTATTTGGCGAAAAATCACTCAGCCTATTCCAGGCGTTCAGTTACTAAAGCTAGGCACGATAGTAAACAGCGGTTTAGAAGCGGAGGAGGCGCTGAGAGAAAGATCAGAAATAATTTTTTTTCACTGAAAAGGATTAACGTTTCTGTGCTAAACGTGCCTGCATGTCCATGTTGCAATTGAAAGTAAATTATCGGGCGAATCAGTGAAACCTATGGGGTTTTGCAATGCTCAGTACAGGGGGCAGTCTAAGGAACTTCCGATTTATGTAATGGAGGATTGAGCTTTCCATACGCAACCCACTCTTGGATAATTTGGTGGCTGAACCGCAGCCTTTACGTCAAGCCATTTATATATATAAATTTTAAATTCTAATTATTATACACAGCAACACTTGACTTCTGCGTTATTCTATTTTGATACCATTCAGTTTAGGTCGGTGGTCTCTAAGATGCACAGCTGAGGGTTCTCCAAATACTTCTTACAATGAATGATTGACTATCTAACTCAAAGGAGATAGCTAGTGCAAATTGATGATAGGAAGTCAGATATGGCAACAGCGTAATTCGGCGTTCCTCAGGGCTCAGTTCTGGGTCCGGTTATTTTCAACCTCTATGTCGCCAACCTCTATGTCGCCAATCTCTATGTCGCCGACCTCCAGAGCGAGCTACAGTGTGACTGTTATCAGTATGATGACGATACGACGTTTTACATCCACTCGAAACCATGTGATCTCGATTCTTCAGCAGGTCACATAAATAAAGCAGTTACAAGTCTGAGGGATTATTCTAAGAGTTGCAACCTGGCCTTGAATTCTTCCAAGACAAACTGGCTACTTATTTCCACCCCACAGATGGCGCGATATCACAGATTTGAAGAACGAAAACTTCCTATCGCCTATGTCGATACTCCACTAAAACGGATTTCCTGCACAAAGCTATTAATATTGGGTGTTCACGTGGACCAGCACGACCTGGAAGACGCATGTAGACCATGTGTTAAGTTCATTGTACGGGACACTGTCAGTACTGCGCAGACTTAAAAAACTAGCCCTTTTTTATGTAAGGAAACATCTGGCAGGGAGCTTAGTCCTCTCCAAAGCGAACTATGCATTTCAAATGAAGCGCCTCCAAACGTTATAAAATGCATGCGCTGGATTTTTCACAACAAGGTTCGCAAGAGTGGAGGATGTTGCGAAGTTGAACTGGCCTCCAGTGAATAAGAACATTGAACTAGATATACTTAAGTTAACTCATAAGTCGCTATATGATGAAACGTTTCCTGAATATCTTAAATTAAATCTACACAAGGTCAGTGCTTATAGCTTAAGATCTTCGATTGCGCCTGTCCTTTCTATTCCTAGAGAATCAGAAACATTTCAGCACTCAGCAGCAACTACTTTTAATAAGCTCCCGGTAGCTATTAGAAACATAACTGAGTGCAACTGTTTCTGTTAATTTCTCATACAAATAGCTCTTCTTTGCGTCATAAAAAAAGTCAATTTATGTATATATAATAGTGAAGATGACTTTCTGCTTCACAATTTAAAAAAAATGTGATAAAAAGTCTGATCTTATGAAACACTGGCTTATATGGGAAAACCTGCATTCCTGTCTCTGTTAGCTAAACATGACTGTAATTTTTATGTTTTAATTCAGAATAAATCTATGCAAACATAGGTACAGAAGTGACCAATATGTCAAAAAAAATGTTCCACAAATGTTTCTCACGGGAACTCAGAACTTTTACTTTGCACTACGCTTGTAACAAGACGAAAACCACCTTTCTCTTTACCGAGCTCAAAACGTGGAAGATGTATCAAGTTCATTTAGCTACATGCACTTATACTGCAATAACATATTAAACAAATTGCTCTCACATGCACGCAGTTTTCTACATGATTTCTATTATAATTAAGTGTACAGTATTGTTTTTTACTGGTAAAATTTTCCTTTCATATAGTTTCCCCATAAATGCTCTACATCAAAAGTTAAGGATGTAAAGTAAAAAAAAAAAAAACAGTGAAATAGGGAAGTCACAAACTTCATCATTTGGTAGCAAAGATCACAGAATTCATGAAGGAAATCTTTTTTGTGCTACCCTATAATTTCCTCCATGAAACACTTTTCAAGTTTTTATCAGATAAGACCCCTTCTGTCATTTTCGTGTTTGTCCACAATCTGTCAGGTCATCTGTGTGCGATTGGTTCTACTCAGATGTCAGGTTATTTAAAAAAAGACTCTAAGAGTGGCTTTAAGAATGAGACGTGCGATCAGTTAATACTGATACAGCTTAAGTTATTTTGCTTTATTATCCCTTAAACAACAACGTTTTCACGTCCACTTAGTTGTACCGCGCGCATATCCAAACGAAATCTCCTCGCAGCTTCTGTTACCTGGCCTGAGGGTATAATGTACCGTACATTCTTTGTCCCAAGTTTCGATGACCTTTCCATGTTTACCATCACAATGTTTCGCTATTTCTTTTGAAATCCGCAGTTGATTTAAAATGCAGTTTCATATCATTGCTAGAGCAAACTAAGACTATAAAGATCTTGCACCTTGCACATGTTTCTCAACCTGCAACCACACAACCCTTCCAGCAAAGGACAAAATATAGACTGGACTATTGGACTATTTTTAGACTATTTTTTGGACCATTTTTTTTTAGCCATTTATTGGACCAATTTTTGGACCATTTTATTGAACCATTTTATTGGACCATTTTATCGGGGGGAGGTAGACCATAAGTACTAAGGGAGGGGTGGGATGCAGTCTATCAGTACACAGGGAAGGGTGGGAGGCAGACTGTTGTTACTGAGGGAGGGGTGGAAGGCGAACTATTAGTAATCAAGGACGGGTGGGAGGTGGTTGTGTCAGTAAATGCTACTGATTTATGGAATTTTTACTGGATCATAGAAATTATTATGAGTGGTTTATCGACTGACTACTTTTATGTCAAAATTTTGCGCTGGGTCGCAGTGTTTCTTTATTTTTTTGTCGCCGACTTCCGTTTTCGATCCTCCACTGTTGAGTCACGCGTGTGCCTTTTAAGTAGACTTGTGTCAGTGCTTTATTATCACGAATCATCTATCAGTTGCTTCACGTCTCCCTTTGTGTGTACAGTATATTATTATTAAATTTATCTACCTTCCTTTTGTCGTTGATCTTCTGCGGGTGACAGAGATCTCAGAATTTTTTTTATCCTTAGCCCTTAATTCAATTGCATGCTATTCACAAGTGCAATCGCAATTTTAACATTTACACCTTCACTATAAAAACATTGTTAGTAGTTTCGCACAAAGCAATCTTCCCACTTTGCACGAGTGAACATTGACTCACAGTGTGCGCGCGTTTTGAGCTATCAGCTCAGGAATCAATGCGAACGCGCATGCGTCACGTCTTTCGGTTAGCTGCTCTCAAGCGTCTTCGTCTTCGTCTTCGTCGCAGCATTAAAAGGGAAAGCAAAACCTCTTCATCCTCCGACGAGCTTGAATCTAGATTTTCACCGACATCGGCCATCTTGACTTCAATAAAACATGGCAAGGACGCATGCGCGATAACTCAAAACGCGCGCACACTGTGAGTCAATGTTCACTTGTGCACGAAATTATTCAACATGTTGAATATTCTGAGCTCATGGCACGCGTGACAAAAATCGCAGAACATGACACCGCACACTTGAGGAAACAGCTTACGCCAACAGCCACGAGTGACGCTCAGCTCAGCTGATAGCTCTAGTGTGCGCCGGGCTTTACTGTAATTTGCGAAACGAAACGGAA